CTCCCTCCTCCTTGAAAAGCGACTCTGCAATAAAAGATGCAAATATACAAAGCCACGACTGATGTGTCGCAATTTTTTCTCATTAGTATTCAAAGTCTTTCTTTTTCCTTCTTTTCTGCTACTTTTCTCATTTTCTCTTTCTTTCTTTTTTGTCTTCTTATTCTCATTTACTTATTTTGATTCCTTTTTTCTTCTTTTGCTTTCGATTGTTTTTTTTTTGCTTCTGTTATATTTTCTTCCTTTTTTATCTTATCTTTCACTCTTTCTCTTTTTGTTCGTATCTTACACTTTTTTTCTTGTTTTCTACTTCTTTTCTCTTCTTCTCTTTCCCCCTTTCCCCCTCCCCTCTTTTATCCGTCCGTTTCATCCCCTTCCTTCTCTTCTTCCTTTCTATATTTGCGCTCCTTCCCCTTCGTTGATTTATTCTTCTTTTCCTTCGTCTTCCTCTTTCTTCGTCTTCTTATTCTTCTTCCTCCTTCTCCTTTCTTTCTCTACTATATACAATTCTGCTCCTTTTCATTTATTTTCTTCTCTTTATCCTATACTTCTTCTGATTCTTCCTCTTTTTCTTCTTTCTTTTCTCTTTGTTCTTCTTTATCTTCTTACTCCTGTTTTATCTTCTTCCTTCGTTCCCTCTTCCCTCCTCACACAAGGCTTCTTCTTCTTCTTCTATTTCTTCTTCGTTTTTTTTCTTCTTCTTTTCTTTTTCTTCTTCTTCTTTTACTTTTTATTCTTCTTCCTCTTGTTTCTTTTTTCTGTTCTTCCTTTTTTCTTCCTTCTTCTTCCTTCTTCTTCTTCTTCTTTCTTCTTCTTCTTCTTCTTCTTTCTTCTTCTTCTTCTCCCATTGTTCTTTCTTTTTCGTCTTTTTTCTCCTCTCTTCCTTCTTCTCTTTCTCTTCTTTACCCTCTTCCGTCTCTTCCTCCTCCTACTCCTTCGCTGCAACATAGCTGCGCGAAGGAAGCAACAAGCAAGTTAGGTTTCTGAGAAGTCTATTTTCCTCTCGCTCTCCTCCTCCCCTCCTCCTCCTTTTCCCCTGTTGCCCTCCTCCTCCTTCTCCATCTCTTTCTTTTCCCCTGTTTGCCTCCTCCTCCTCCTCCATCTCTTCCTTTTCCCCTGTTGTCTCCTCCTCCTCCTTCTTCTATCTTCCTTATTCTCTTTCGCTTCCTCTTCCTTCTCATTCTCCTCCTCCTTTTCCCCTGTTGCTTCTCCTCCTCCTCCTCTTTCTTCTCTTCCTTTTCCTCTTTTACCTCCTTCTCATTCTCCTCCTCCTTTTCCTTTTTTGCCTCCTTCTCATTCTCCTCCTTTTCCCCTGTTGCCTCCTCCTCCTCCTTCTTCTCTTCCTTTTCCTCTTTTGCCTCCCTCTCCTCCTCCATCTCTTCCTTTTCCCCCTGTTGTCTCCTCCTCCTCCTTCTTCTTATCTTCCTTTTCCTCTTTCGCTTCCTCTTCCTTCTCATTCTCCTCCTCCTTTTCCCCTGTTGCCTCCTCCTCCTCTTTCTTCTCTTCCTTTCCTCTTTTACCTCCTTCTCATTCTCCTCCTCCTTTTCCTTTTTTGCCTCCTTCCATTCTCCTCCTT